GCTGGGTCTGTCCCCGGGAGGTGGCCCAGCCCTGTGTCACCTGGCGGGCATCACGCTCTGCTGCCTGGGGACGTTTAAGCGGCGCTTCGTGTTAAAAGTAGAAGGGTTTTGGTTTGGGACATGTTATTCGGGGTTTTTTTTTGTTCGGTTGGCTGGTGGGGTTTTTTATGGTTTGGTTTTCGGTAAGATAGCTTTCCAAAGCTATGAAGCAGTGCCTGAGTTCAAATGAATACATTGCTGTAAGTGGCATGAACTAAAATCTCCCCAGTCAGCAAAATACTGGTCCTCGCCAGGACTGAAGTGCGTGCAACTACTGACGGGGCTTTAACCCGGCAGCTCCCGAGTACCGCGCAGCAGCTCCCTCACGAGGAAAGAGACTCGAAGGTTGAGATAAAAGCTATGTAGTAATTGAAGTAAAACAAAAGAGTAATAGAATACAGAAGCAAGTGATGCACAGTGCAGCTGATCACCACCCACGTACCAGTACACCCATCCCATCTTTGGCTGGTGATCCTGGTGGAAGGAAATCCCAAAACTGCAGTCCTGGGAGAGGACACCTGGCCGACCCTCATATATGTACTGGGCATGATGTTGCATCATATGGAATATCCCATTTGCCAGTTTGTACCTCTTGCTCTGACTGCGTGGCCTCCCAGCTTCTCGTACGCTAGCCAAGCACAGGAAGTTAAAAACTCCTTGATTTCTTCTCAGCTAAAACCACCAGTATATTATCAACATTTGTCTCATGCCAAATGCCATACTTGATCCAAAACAAAATGCTGTTCTAGCTACTAAGAAGAAAATTAGCTCTGTCCTAGACAAAACTGCGACAACTATATATACTTTGGCAAATACTTGATTTTTGTGTGTTTGTTGCTAAGAGCTCGATGGAATTTAACCTACTTGACTTGCTTTAAAGAGATGATGGCTTTATAATAGGACAAGTATGAAAAATATTGTTTAGAGTTTGCATGTATTTGAAACAACAGTGCATATAACTTGCTGCTGGAAAATGGCTCTTCTGTATTTTATTTAGGGAAGGTGTAACCTTAGAATACTTTTTTTTTTTCTTTACAGGACCCTCCGATATGTTCCCAAAGGCTCCCAAGACAAAATTATCTCTGATGAAGATATCTTTGAAACACTACTGAAACTGTTTAAAGCTCTGTTCATAAATGACTTCAGCAGACAAGCACATATTTTTGCCTTACTTCCAGAAATCAAGTGTAAATACTTGGAATTGCTGACTGCTGAGCAGAAGCAATCAAAATTAAATTCATGTAACCATCACAGCCAACATGTGTTTAGTCCAGAAGAAACTCTGTTTAAAACACTGGGGTTCACTGTTACTCGAGCCAGAAGCTCCCTGGTGTCTGCTGGAACTGGAGTCTTTGTTTCGAAAGGTTTTGTACCAAAAGGGACGCTTGTATCTATGTATCCTGGTAATGAAATGGTACTTTTTCTGATTAAGTTAGATGTGATTTCTAACCATCTAATTACAGAATGCAAAAGTTCTGCACTAATTTTTATTTTACGGGTTTTATTTCTGTCAAAATCACAAGTTATGGTGCATGAGAATGTTTCTGTATGAATGGAGAGTTCATACAACGAGCTATATGAGAGTTATTTTTGAAATAAGCAAAGCACTATTAGAGGACTAATTCGGTTGATAGAAAAAAACTTTCAGTACTGAAAGTCTGATTTTTTCAGCTGCTAGAAAAGTTGTTTCAGATTCTTTAAACACAAAAGGGTGGGAGCAGCAATTTCAAGTAGATCAACAGCACAGTTTAATTCTTTGCGGTTTGTTCTGGGTAAGGATCTGAAAAATGGGGGTTTGAGATTTCCACACAGATCAGCAGGCAAGACCCTGAACTTTTTCAGAGCACAAAAATAAAAATTGGAGAATGAAAATAAACCCCTTTTCAAAACTCTCCTCTGTGAAACATGTTTGGAAAATCAGCACTTCCCTCTTACTTTCCCTCATTTCTTAGAGCTGTATTTGCTCGAATTTCTTAAAAAGGATATAAAGGAAACTGCAGGGCTGCTGGCTGAGGCAGGGACTCTGTGGGGATAGCAGGTCAGTGCCCTCCTGCCTCTCTGGCAGTCAGTGCAGCCTGCAGGTGGGGCAGTTGCCTGAGTCCTCCCGAGGTGGCAACAAAAGATTTCGGCAGAGAGTTGCTAAAGATGTAGTGGGTGAGAGGAATGCAGGACTGCAATGTCATGAACAATTGAAGCCAGTCTGCTGTCACTTCTGTGCAGATTAAATCCTGCCCACCACTTTGAGAATGGTCTGCTGAAATGATTTGTCTGCTCTGCATTTCACAATTTCCCTCTTCTGTACCAAACAAACTCTCTGATCGGGGTGCTAGTGGAGGTGTTTCGGGTTCTTTGCGCTCTCTGTATGTGCTTTTCAAAGAGTCCTTACATAGCAGTAGCAAAACACCTTAATATCTGCAGCGGCACTTTCTTGAACAAAGATCATTTGACTTCTCTGAAGGAGACCAAGAGGCTGTGATGCCATTTTTACCTGTCACATTGATAACTGGACACAGGCCTTCTCTTCAATGATTTCCATCGGTTTCTCTCTTTGCAGTATCTCTGCTCATGTAGGTATTTTTGTGCATCCCACAAAGATGTGTCTGAGATAATATGGATTTACAATTGTTCAATGAGAGAGAAGTTCTGTCCTACCCCCTCTGTCCCTTTTGAAGTTCTGTGTGGAGAGGACTGGATGTCCCATGCTGACCGTAAATTAATTTTCTTCTGAAATAATCGTGTCTGTCTTGCAACAGGTACAGTATACAGAAAACATGAGCCCATCTTTTTCCAGTCCCTTGGCAATCCCTTTATTTTTAGGTGCATAGATGGTATCCTTATTGATGGGAATGATAAAGGACTGTCAAGATCAGTGTATAGGTAAGCAGACAAAAGAAACAGGATTGTCACTCAACTGATTTAAAACAGTGATACTGATTGTCTCGTTTCCTCTTGTCTTACCCTACATTGATTTATATTTGAGTGTCATCCATCTATGTGTGTCATAATGCAAACAAGGGTGGGAGCTGCTGATTGTGACGATCTGTTATGTACTTACGTCTTCATCTATAACACCGACAAGGTGCATTGTAAAGAGAATAGTTTTGATAGGAGCATGATGTAGCATAAATTCTTTTAAATTCTTCTGAGCTATTCAGATCTGCTAAGTGGATGGAAAAAAATAACAAACCCTCCAATGGAATTGCTAATAACAAAAAGGTCAGTCTTGTACCTCTGGCTGTGATCTCGGATGAGCAGCACTTCAGAAGGGAGCAGTGACCATTGTTAATATCTTATATTGGAAAGGACCCATGAGGATCATCAAATCCAACTCTCTGCTCTGCGCAGGACGACCTAAAACTAAACTATGTGACTAAGAATGTCGTCCAGATGCTCCTTGAACTGTGACAGGCTTGGTGCCATCACCACTTCCCTGGGGAGCCTGTCCCATGACCCACAACCCTTTCCATGAAGAACCTTTTCCTAATGTCCACTCTGAACTTCCCGTGTCTCAGCTAGCCTGGACTGTTTTACCTAAACTTCAAATATAATTTGTAGTAATTTGTGTTTATATATAGGGGAAAAGAAAATAAAATTAGTAACAGGCAAAATAATCTAAATACCTAATTTGAATACCAGTACCTCGTAGTAGCAGCTTTTTATTTTGAGAATGAAGTTGATACTGTAACAAGCCTTCACATCTTTAGAGATGTGTTGACACCTTTCTAGTGGTAACAATTGATGTAATTTCTGGAGTTGTACATAGTGGTTGTGTGTGGGTTCTCCCACTGGAGTCTGAAAGACACCACATGCACAAGTGGGAGGTTTAAGTGTACTTTCGGAAGTATCATTGAGGTGCTTGTGCACACGCATTCTATGCCCCAGTGTGACAATAATGCTGTTGGTCATTCCAGGTCTTGCAGCAGGAGAGATCAACTTGGCCCATTTCAAATGAGCGATGAGAGCTGGCTCACAGCTGCCCTGCAAAACCCACTGGCAGTGGGACAGTATGTCAACAACTGCTCACATGGTAAGTTGCCAGGTAAATTTTCCATGTTTCAGTTTGTCTATATGGATAGAAATTATTTTGGAGGTGACACAGAGAATCAGATACTCATCTCTGGGGACAATAGTGCTGTTTAAGACAAGATAAGCACTTACATGATAAAGAGTTCCTGGGGTCTTTTGTGGCAGCTGGGTGTTAAAATTATTCAGCCCAGCAATACCTCAAATATCCGTGTTCTTTTCCTGCACTCTCCCTCTTGGTATGTGGAATGAAAGGCACACATCCCAAAATGTGAGATGGGAAAGGATACTTGGCAAAGGTCCACTGAACTGAGAGTCCATATGCAGCACGAAGGTGCAGATCATGTTCTCCCCTGTGGCTTCCTGAGCATGCTGTGATGTGTACAGTAAAGTCCTGACACTGCTCAGTTTGGACTATAATACATTTTTAGATTTCTTTACATTTGTGCACAAAATTTAGCAATCTCTTGGTGTGATAAAGCTGTTGGACTTGAAGAGGAGAAC